CGTTGTCTGTGAACACAGTTCACCGTGAAATCCACAAATGCAAGTTAAAGCTGTATCATGCAAAGAAGAAGCCATATGTCAACACGATCAAGAAACGCCATCGTCTTCTCTGGGCTAAAGCTCATTTAAAATGGACTGAGGCAAAATGGAAAACTGTTACGTGGTCAGATGAATAAAAATTTGAAATTCTTTTTGGAAACCACAGACGATGTGTCCTGCGGACTCAAGAGAAGAGGGACCATCCAGCTTGTTATCAGTGCACAGTTCAGAGATGCAGGCTTTTGATGGTGTGGGGTTGCATTAGTGCCTATGGCGTGGGCAGCTTAGACATCTGGAAAGGCACTATCAATGCTGAACAGTATATGAAGGTTTTAGAACAACATATGCTCCCATCCAGACAACGTCTCTTTCAGGGCCTTGCATGTTTCGGCAAGACGATGCTAAACCACATACTGCATCCATCACAACAGCATGGCTTCGCAGTGAAGAGTCCGGGTGATGAACTAGCCTCTCACCAATAGAAAACATTTGGTACGTCATGAAAAGAAAAATCTGGCAAAGAAGACCCATGACCGTTGAGCAGACATCAGGCTAGAATGAGACAACACTCCTCTCCCAGAGCTCCAGCAATTAGTCTCCTCACTTCTCAGACGTTTACAGACTGTCGATAAAAAAAGAGTGGCTGCTACACAATGGTAGATGTGGCCCTGTCCCAACTTTTTAGAGATGCATTGCTGCCATCAAGTTCTAAATGAGTTAATGTTTTTCATGAAATGTCTCACTTTCAACATCTGATATGTGTTCTGTGTTCTATTATGAAAAAAATATGGGTCTACAAGATTTGCAAATCATTGCATTCTGTTTTTATTTACATTTTCCACAGCGTCCCCACTTTTTTGGAATTGGGGTTGTATTTTCAGAAGGTATTTCTTGGAAAATTAGTTATAGGCACATCCACTTACATAGGGAAGAAGAAAGTCAACAGAAAATATGATCAGATCTGAAAGAATCCACAGGTAGTTTTGTTTCTGTCCATTCTTAAAGACAGTCAGCTCCACTGGGAGAGGGTAACTCGATGCTGTGGGTCCGAAAGAATGTGTAGCTGTAAAGAAGCCATTACTGAGAAAAGGAAATGGACAAACAAGAGAAAAATTGGCAAATCAACAAAAAAATCTACTGGTGTTCAAGGAATTGATCACCGCAGAATCCTGACCTCAGCATCACTGAATGTGTTTGGGATTACTTGGATCTTGAGAAACAGAAAATGCAACCAATGTCTGAGACTGAACTTTGGAAGTGTGGAAAAATAAGTTGAGGCTTCTGTCAAAATTTCTGTTATACTTTCTTGCTGAAAAGGAATACTTGATGCAGTTTTGAGTGTAAATTGAATAAACGAGGGATGATCTTATAATTTTGTACAGTACTTAATAACACATATGTACATCTGTATGCTTATGGTACAGTGTGAATTGGACTTTCTTTTTTTTACATGACTCCAAGGCTCAAAGCCCTGTGTGCTCGCTGGAACAGCCTCAAAGTCATGGCTTATCGTGATGCTGCTGTTTTTTTTTTTTTGTGTGTGGATACATTCTGTGTGATGCAGATGCTGATGCGAGATCCTTATGCATAAGTCATGTAGTGTGGCTTTTTTTTCTCCTCAACGACGCATCAGCACGGAGCAGGCAAGAAAGAGACTTGCTGATTGCTTCTAGCCATAGCAGCATCTCTCGATCAACCCACTTGGTAAAAGCAGCAGTGTAAAGCGGAGCTAAATGTTTCTAAAAATGCAGTGGACTTCTGAGGACACAGTATACTCTCAATTATGGACACTATTCTCAGTGAAGGCCCCACCTCAGGGTAATTGCTGGGATACTGGGTTGCTCATACCAAAGTATTGGACACCATTGACAGGTTGAATCTGTGTATGTGCACAGACAGAGAAGTGAGGGAGGATGAAAAGCCAGCTGCTGTTCCCGCAGCATCTGTCCACCTCTTGTTGTTCTTTCAAGGGGCTTCATATCAAGATAAAAAAAACAGAGACGGACAGAATGTGGCCCAGCTCCCCTGTCCAGCTCCTCACTGTTCTGTCTCCACTGCTTCTCTTATCCCTTTGCAGGCCTCCAGGTTTTAGGAACTTGAAAGTAAACAGTTTACATGAGCTGCCGAAGAGGCAGGAGTTTGCCAGGTAACTGGATCCTGACTTCAGAGAGGAGGCTAAAAATGTTCACTGGGGGCTTAGCCTGGGGCAAGCAGGAAGCGACACTGTGGACAAGAGGAGAGGAGAACCACTAACTCTGCTAGAAGTTGCACCAAATTGCTAAAAAGCACTTAGCCTTGGGCATGGGTTTGGCCTTATTCTGTATATGATGGGTGAGGAGTTTCTTAAAAAGCAGTGTGGATTTCTCCAGCAATGCCAAGTCTTCATTCACTGCTTTGATTGCAGACACTATTTGGAGTATATGTGAACATAAGTGCAGATTGTTTTAATGAAGAGATAAGAATGCATGCACAAATGGTGCATAGCAGTTTATCCTACATTCATATCTCTTTATCTCTTTGCACTTAAATTTACTTCTTTTGTTAAAACGTCCACAGTGTGTTGCACACCCCGTTAAACAATTGCACAGCTTCTTATCATTGCAGTTTTCTTTTCCAAATCTTGTGCTAGTTTCTGTAGTCAGCTGTAGATTTTTTTTTTGACAAGATTATTTCCAGGACCTTCAAAAGAGGCAGAAAAAAGCCTCTCCCAGTCCAGTTTAAGAAGGAATTATAGATTAAAGGCTCCTCCGAGTCGAGATCTAATAGCTCCGTGCCAGTAGCTGCTGCTTCTGCTGTTGCTGTCGCCTGGGACGCTAGCACAGCCTCTGCATCTGGGTGTATTTTTTTTTTTTTCATGGCCCGCCTTTGAAGTGGCAGAGATCCCCGCCCCTCCTCCCACCCCTCTCCCCCAAAAGTGTGCTCTAACAGTTTTCCGACACTTTTCCGGCAGGCCTGCCACGTGACGTGCTAACCGGTCTCCTCCCTGAGATGTCTAGGAGCAGGAGCAGCGGATCCACAGGCTGCCAAACCTGCCAGTCCCTGGTGCATCCTGTATTGCTAAGCTTTGCACATCACAGTCCAGGCAAATGTCACTTGTATGGTCAATAAAAGTATGGCATAACATTACAAGTTCTAGTTGTTGGTTCAGATCCGACCTTTATGCACTGACGGTCCAGATTTAGGTTTGTAAGTGACCCTTGTCTGACATTAGTATCTTATTTTTCCAAAATTGATTCAGAATTCCATGTTGTATGCTTTTATGTTTGGTGTATATATGGTTCATACGCATGTGCTTATGCAGTTCTGGAAGGGCATGCTGACAACTTCCACGACATTACTAAGCGTAAACATAAGTCGAGACATTTACAATTACTCTCAGTAATATCATGTCAGGTTTCAGCATCCCATTAATTTTTCTCTAAGATACAGTTTTTAGACATTAACATTCCTGTCCCATACATTCCTCCTCCTTAAGTTGAAGCTATGCTGTCAAAGCCAGTGAGGTCAAGTCCAGGGGTCAGTCCATCAGAGTGGTGCTCACACAAACTACTGCTTGACTGGCTAATGGAGGTCCCTGTCAGCTTTAGTGGGGCCTAATGCCTTTGCTGTCTCGCTGTTTCTTTTTCCTTTTTTAGTCATCTGCAGCCTTTTCCCTGAGCCTGGCTGCTAAACACGGCAGCCCCATGGCAAATCGGTCGTGCCCATGTTTTTTCAGCTTCCTGAAATGAGAAATGGCAGCGGTACCTCATCCCCCATGAGTAACTGACCTTTGATTTGCGCTAATTTTGCTCATTAAATCAAACCGCTGACCTTTGTGGAATGCCGGCCTTTGATGTTGAACCCTTGTGGCTGGGAGATCAGAGGGGGCGGTTTCTGTTTTCCTCTTCCTGGCCAGGCAGAGCACAAACGCTTCATCAGTCTCGCTCGACTTGTTTTTGTTCCCCTCTCTTCGTTTCTCTTTCTTGCTCTCCGAGCAAGTATGGGATTCCCCTCATTCAGCACCCCAGAAATGCAATATTGCTATCCAGTCGAGATGGAATAACCCTGTCAAACCTAAAGTGTCACTGCGGGTACATTTAGCATAGAGGTCTGCGTCCCTGGGGGATCCACCACAGTATCTTGTGAGGCAGGGCTAATTTTTGGTGTCAAACATGGGAGCTGGCAGTTAACCAGCACAGTGTGGGCAGGAGCGGGACAACGATTAATGCAAATGAATGAATTGGCAAAGTAAAATGATAGCTGTCATTTAATAATTGACTGATATCCAACAGCAAAATAACAAAAAGTAATAAACTCATTCTAAATAGAAATCCTAAACTAAAGTTAAGTAGAAACACCCATTCACGTGAACAATTTTGTGAGTCAAATGAATTGCTTTCTTGTAGTCTACAGAAACAGTGGAGCCTTTAAACAGTCAGACGGCCACAGCTGTGGAAAGTGTTCTTAATAAAGGCAAATACATAACATTAAAGCCAACTAAAGGCAAGTCACACTTACTGCAGTCATTTTTAGTTGTAACTAACGCAGATGAATACCAGTAATACAGGACTGTGGGCAGGAGTGGGACAAACGGTGCCAATTTTTTGCAGGAGCGTGAGTTTAAAAGCAGAGCTCTTCACTGAAAAACTGCTATAAGGTAAAATGTATGTTAATAAATCGGCTACAAGCTTCAGATAAAACATGGAAAGGCTTTTACAGGCTTCCATATCAGTGTTTAAGCTAGAACGGCCAAAACCTGTTAATGTGAATTGATGTTAGCTTAGCGCTAACGTAATACTAGAATGACATAGAGGGAAAGGGAGAAATTAGCATTATTGATGCATCGTTTTTTTGATTGAATGTGTTTTTTCCCAATCTTTTGCCACGTTTTGATATTTGTGGCCTGAACTGAAGGCCTAGCTTTAATAGTCATTCTCACTCTCTGTGTGTGTGTGTTTGCTTTTGTCTGTCTGTCTTTCCAGACCATCTCAGAGCTGGAGGCCCAGGTGCACTCTCTGAGGGAAGAGGTGCTGGCAGCTCATGCCCAAAGGAAGCAGCAGTTGACTGAGCTGGGCCTCCTGCGAGAGGAGGAGCGCCAGCGCGCCGCCCAGGACCAGGAAGCCGCATTGAACCGTGTTCGGGCTGAGATGGAGCGCGTGCGCCAGGACTTGGAGAGGACCCATGCTGCCGAAAGAGAGCTTGCCCAGGAGAAGGTGGGTGGTTCTGAGTAGAGATATATCTTTTTATTTCCGAAGCTAAACACTGATTCAGTGTTGTTTCCAGTATTGGCCAATATTGTTTTTTTTTTTTTTATTAACCCTTTTAAGAGTCCCTTTAACAGGCTTTTACTTCATGTCCCATGTTAAAGAGCCACATTAATCAATGTCAAACACTTCTTACTCAGATAAAATAAATAAGAAACAAAATGGAGAAAATAAAATACCGCTTTACAAATTTACTAACAAGAATAGGCAAGCATCATTCGTATTGCAAATAATATAGCTTATACTTAACAAAAGCAAGCAAAAAGAAAATAAAGGCTTGTCTGAATTATAACCATTATTTTTAATAAAAAAAAATCTTCTTCTTTTGCAGATATTTGCTAACACTGCCATACTGGTGAGGTTGTTTGTTGATGTCATTGTATTCTGGCATTGTTGATGAATTGGCTCATGCAAAGACTGTATTCGAGATCAGCCAATTTAGAGACTGATGATTGCATCATTTTGAATTAAATTGTGCTGATTTTTACCAATCCTCAGACAGGGTGTGGAGACACTAGATACAGCATCAGCTTGAGGCCAGCGTTCCTCAGAGGTTACACCAGTGTGATTGATATGGCTGTGAAAGCACTCGTTGGCAGGATGCTTCGGCATGTCAATCATGCTGATAATTTTCTGCTGTTCCTCACTTCCCTCCCTGCTGATTTGCGGCCACTGGATTGGCACTGCTGCTCGGCCACTGGTCTATCATATATCCTCCCCACGTAAGTCATGTTAACAGCTGGCAGTTCTCCAGCGGCAGCAGAGGTGAAGCTTCGGCTGTGGGTTCACACCATGGTGCTTCGCTGGTGCATGCGAGTCCTGAGGCTTTTGGCAGTGTTCCGGTGCAGGAGGTGGAGCAGGCTGGGTTTGGCTTCATCTGGCTACTTGCGGTCTGAGGAAAAAACCAACCACCACATCTCTAATCTGTTGGCCCTAACACTGTTTCTATGGCCCCACAGTAAAAGCTATCAGGCCTGTCAGCTGAGGAAGTGACTCAGAGCATAACGCTCTCCTCCTCCACTTCTCCCCTTCTGTATGCCCTTGAGTGCACAGTAAACAGACAAACCAGGCCTGCCAGCCTGTCTTCTCACCTGGTGGGGTGCGTGCTGTGCGGATCACATGCGTGTACAGTCATGAGCGCTCACACATGAATACAGTTCTAGTTGGGGCAGGCTTTGTAGTCTAGCAGTGTAAGAAGAGGTCTGGTTAGCATTTCATTAGAAATGCATTAGTCCCCTCTTGCTCCGGCCCTATCTAGGCAGAGCAGGCGGACTTGGGCTACTTTGCCGGAATTCCTGAGGTTCTCACCCCCTGCTCCCTTTATATTTACAGAGCTCTTGATCCCGGTAACAGAAACCAGGGCTGGAAAACTCCCTTAATCCAGCACAGGCTGGCCAGGAACCGGCTGAAGGTGTGGTGTTGATCAGAACGGTAATCCTGATTAAGCCCATCAAAGCGATTAGTTTTCATTAGACCCATGTGTCCCTTGCCGCCCAGCCTCGTCTTGGGCCATCTGTGGCACATTACCGTGCCTCCTCTATAAATCCTGGGTCTCTGATTCGGAACCATATGTGAGTACGAGTTGCACAAATATTCACATCAGAAGAGGTTCCGTCTCACTTTTTCCGCTCTGCTGCAACTCTGCTATTGCTGCGTATGTCATATACTTGCAAAAGCATAAGTACAAAAGAAGGCAAGCAGCTAATGCTGAAACACTTATCACTAGGGTGTTTTGAGTGAATTGGTTCTTCATAATCATTCTTGGTCTTTCATAAGTTTTTCTGTACAGGGACACACCGCTAAGCAGTCCTGGAACAAGTGGCATCTTAGAGAGATGTAAGTGATTTGCTTCATCCCACTAGTCCATGGTGCCTTTTTCCTGTCTCAAGGGCTGGATAACACGACCTTATCTAATCCAAAGGGACTGTGTAGATTCAAACATCCTAGTAAGGCATAAACTCACTCTGGAAGATCTCAATGAGTCATCCAGACCACTTAGATCTCAGAGCCAGTCATTCAAGTTCTTTTTAATGTGCATTTCCAGCTCAACATTTTTTGTAGTCAATGAAGAACAGTGATGTGTTCTGAGAAAAGGCTTCATCATTGTATTGTTTGGAAATACTGAGTCAACAAGTGTAGTACCATCATCTGAAGTTGGAGATTAGACGTTTGAAGTTTTTAGACTGAAAATGGTGTATCTCAAAGTATAAGGAAACCAAAGAAACTGTAGGTTTTATTGGGAAAATAGATCCAGTTTTTCTATCCACTACAGTCCATTCATTTTATTACCAAGGGAACTGCATAGCTGGTATCAGAACAGTTAGGTGGTTTTGGAGATCTAGGTGATAAATGTGCTCAAGAATTAAGATTTTTAAATAATAAAACATTAAGGATCCTGCAAGGCATTCACATTCATAACCCAAAGCCGTAACCACATCTCAAACCTGACTTTAGCTTTCTTAGCCCGATCTGAATTTGTTGTGCTCATAAATTATGTTTAGACTCGACTTACAGTCAAAAAAAGGGTTAAAGTATCATCTCAAACCTGACTTTAGCTTTATTAGTCTGATCTGAATTTGTTGTGCTCATAAATTATGTTTAGCCTCGACTTACAGTCAAAAAAAGGGTTAAAGTATCATCTCAAACCTGACTTTAGCTTTCTTAGCCTGATCTGAATTTGTTGTGCTCATAAATAATGTTTAGCCTCGACTTACAGTCAAAAAAGGGTTAAAGTATCACTCGTGTGTTTTCCACAAAGTATTTTAGCCAACTTTATTATGATTGTGATTTTTTGATATTTAGAGATAAGCCATTAGTATTGAGTGATAAAGAACAGGAGAAAACACTGCGACTTCAGCCTAAACTGACTTAGTCCACATGCTCATGACTGTAGACATGTGAACTTTACTTTGTTTTTGGCATATCCTCGCTAACTTTAGATCACCACTCGCACGTGCATCACACCTTGGTTACACAAGTGGCCACTCTCAGGAGAAGGGGAGGAGGGGACAACAAAGAGCAGGTTTTTCAATCAGAATGCAATGGCGTCGGTTAGGTTAGCCTCAGTGAGCTGATCAGCTAGCCATGCAGTTTGTAATACCCGTTTTTTTGAGATATTTAAGCAATAGAACACGAGAGGGAGTGTGTTATCGCGAAATAACATCACGGCTGAGTGCCGTATATCATCGCAGCCGTGATGTTATATGTGATAACACATGACCTCGAGTGTTCTATTGCTTTTATACAAAAGTAAATAAATAAAGTAATAAATAAATAAATTGGGCCATGAACATGTCATTGTTTTAATGTTAGTTAATTCCTTGTGTATTCCTAATGTAATGTTAATTCCTGGTAATGTTAATTCCTTCTGCCGAAACTGTCACCACTGAGCGAGCTTTTTTGTTTTTTATTGCAGCAGTTTTATGGCTCAGTCTCATTTGGTCAGACTCTGAAATTGAGACTACACGTTTGGCGAATAGTATTCAGTTAATTTCTGGCTGATTCCAGGTTGTTTAGGTGTTCTTCTGTCACAGCTGCCGACTGAAAAGCTTGCTCAGCGATAATGACAGTTTCGGAATTTAGTGTAGTCTCATCTTCAGAGTCTGACCAAATCGGCTGTAGGTCAAATGAAATCTTAAAAGTATCCATTTCTGTTGGTGCACAAAGTAAGAAGTGAAAACGTGTAAATGGCTTGAGTGTCTCCTACAGCTGTCAAACTCGTTGCTTAGCAACGGCGTCTTAGCGGAGTGATACAGTGTTTGTGACAAAAACGTGATGTTATGGCGAAATAACAGCACGGTTAGAATGCTTCTCAACCAATCAGCTTACGTGGCCAGAACTAACTGTTGTATAACAGAGCGCATAAATTTTGTGAATAATTGTTTTGTGTGGTGATACGCTTTGCTTTAATACTGTGATGTTGTCTTTGAAATGGACTCTCTAACACTTTACTAGAGCTAATAAAGTAATAAAATGTCTTTTAAGATGAGGCAAACTTGATGAGGGCATGTTTAAAACTGTACTGGAATAGACAGATGTAGATTAGTTACACAAACTCACGGATATAGGTAAGAGAGGAAGATCTGATGCTCCAAACTCAATCAGAGGCTTCTAGCATTTTGTGCTAGACTGAGATCAGACTCATTCCACATTAAACAGCTATTCTGTCTTCGAAAGATTAAACAGAGTAACTGACTCAGACACACATACATGCACACCATGCTGAAATATTACAGCTCATTTAGACTGTAATGTATAGCATGGCTTGTCATTTCTATCAGTTGCATTCCACCCTCCAATCCCCACAGCCCCCCGCTTCAAGAGAGGAAAGACGTTATTAAGATAAATGCCATAGGTTGTGCAGATTATGGGCCTGGGCCCTTTGAAGGCAGTTAATGATTCCATTGCTGTGTTAAGCATAGTGTGCCAGAGTAAGATATCACTTCCCAACTCCATGTCGAAGTTTCCAACTTCTCTTTGTTTATAAGTTTTAGTGGAGGAGAAAGTTCCAGTATTTTTCATTTAGAAGAAGTTTTCAGGCTCTCAGATCCTTATTGACTCGGCGTGTTTTGTAAGCTGAAATTTCTTATTCTTTTGATGCCAACAGAAACGCTGTCCTCGGCAGTCAGTGGGTCCTGAAACGGGCAGCCGGAGTTTGAACGCATCTCACAGATCCCAAAGAAAAAGGGAGGAGAAATCCATTAAATCCATGAATGGATTTTCATCAAAGATGTCGCCTTTTTGAGGGGGAGCTCGTGGAATAAAATAATGAGAAACAGAATATCAGAAGAGATAAGATCGTGCGTTAGATTGTCCCACCGTCAGAGGCTGAGTGAAAAGAAAGGCGAGAAGAAAGCTTCTGGTAATGACTGAGGTTTATCTGCTTCTCTGTGTGTGGTGTCTCTGTGTGTGCGTTCGCCCAGTACCCAATCTCCATCCGCCACAGAGGG